GGGGAGAGGGAGAGGGAGAGAACAGAGCTCATGATACCTGAAGATTTCTTCTAAAAACACATTTCCACTCGGACTATCTTAAAGGAGTAAGAAAAGGATCTAGGGCAGCGTCAGACTTATCCCCTGAGGGAAAACCATAATGAAGTTGCGTTCAATTAGAATTGATGAGAAAAACCCCCGGTGGGGCTATGGACCCAGTGGACACACTGTAGGTTAGACTTTAACTAGGACTTAATTTAATAGCTGACTCCATAAACCCTCCTCTAGCAGAGGCGGGGGGCTGGGGTGGTTATAATGATGCTTCAGGTCTCTGGATACCATTGTCAATTCAGAACCTGCCTCCAATTGTCTGAAAAGGCTGGGAATTCCCTCCTTCTCCAGGGCACAGTCGCTGGAGTAAGTGGCCACAGTTCCCTGTGGGGGTGTCATTACAGTATATACGGTGATGATGTCATAGCAGTCTTCTCCTAGGACCTGTCCACGTCTTCAGTCAATGGGTTACAGATCTGAGAGCTGGCTTAGATCTAGGCTCTGTGCAAGGGTCATAATTTTTATTGGAGTGACCACATCAGCTCCTACTCCTCCATTTTTGCCTTTTTCTGATTGTAGATGCTAAGCTACCCATCTGCTTTGCCCCAGGGCCAACATGCTTTATTAACCATCTGCATAACTCCCTACAGTCAATCCCATTGGCTGCCTGCCCATCATTACACTGATGGGGGTCCCTTCGCTTCTAGTGGTTAAATGCAGCCATCTGGTCTGTATTATTTCGGGGCTGCCTCATACCTGTGGATGTTAGCAAGCCCAGATCTGGGCTGGCCTCTCTTACCATCAGCTCTGGCTTGCAGAGCAGACCATCACTGAGCAGTAGGAAGGATGGAAGTTACCACTCATTGAGATGAGAAGACTGCAGGAGAAGGCTTCATTTTGAGAGGCGGGGTGACAATCAAAGGGATGTTAGTTTTGAGATGATTGTTCGAAATCTAAGGGGAGAGCTGAGTATGCAGTTGTAGATGGATGGATTAAGGAGAGGTGTTCAGGCTGAAAAGTTGTCAATATGTAGATGAGGCTAAGATTAGCCATGAGACTGGTTCAGTTCAACTGGGGTGTACATCAATAAAGAGGAAGTCCAAGGACTGAGGCCAGAGTCACTCCCATATTTAGACATTAGGGAGCTGAAGAGGGATCTGCAGAGAAAACTAAGAAGGAGGAGCTAAAGAGTAGTAGAAAAATCAACAGAGTGGAATCCTAGAAGCCAAGTGAACAATGTGTTTGAAGGATGGAGTTATGAACTGTGTCAGATATCATTCACAAGGTAACCACATGTCCCAGTTGCCTGGGATAGTCCCAGTTTATGTCACACAGTTCATAATTCCTTTTCAGCCTGTAACAGCCTGCGTGATCTGACCTCCAGCACCACTCCAGTCACTTCACTCCTGGCCTTGGCGCTCTTTCTTATGCAGATCAAGCACGTTTCCACCTCAGGGAGGGCTCTTGGACTTGACTTTTCCTCTACTACATGTTCTTATGACCCATTCTTTTATTTATTTGAGGTTTTTGCTAAGTATTTCTTTATCAGAGTAGATTCCCTGGCTACCCAACATAAAACAGCAGCTACCCTCACTCACCATCTGTCTATACCTTGTCCCTGGATTTATATTTCTGGTTGCATTCAGCATCCTCTGTCATGTGACATATATAATATTTGTCATATATATTTTTGCCTGTTTATTTATTATGTCTTCTCCATCAACTCGAATGCTGGGAAGTAACCTCCATCAAGGCAGACACTTTGTTTACTGCTCTATTCCTAGTGCCTATAACAATGTTTCTTGCATAGTAAACACTCGATAAATATTTATTGGATGAGTAAAAGAATGAATGAGTGGGTAGATTTACAAGGGAGCAGTAAACCATTCTAAGGGATTTTTTACAGTCATTAGAAACATTAACAAAGAATTTTAAATGATAAGGGGGAAAGCACATGCTATCATGTTAAGTAAAAATGCTAGATACAACTACTCCTGCCATAAAAATAAGCTCACATTTGGCATGAAAACAAACAAACAGCTGGAAGAAAATATCCTAAAATATTTACAATAGAGTTTGGGTGCTATATTTTGACACCTTGATTCTTCTGGTTGTAAAGAAGCCCGTAAGGATTGGGATAGGTCATCTGATTGGGATATCACATGGCCCTAACCGACTGCAAAATGCAAAGTTGAACTCGCTTCCTTTTAGCAAGAAGAGAAGGTCAAAGAGAAGTCAAGGACACCTTAAAATTTATCCCATATCCATGAAAGCCATTATGAGCATAAAAGGTGGGTTTGAGACAGAGAGAAGGCTGATAATGATAAAATAACTTTTTGCCCCTTTAGCATACATTCACCACCATTTCAGGGGCTTCCAGAATTTCAGGCCCCACCAAAGTCTGATCTGAAGCTCAAAGCAGTCCCCTAACTTCTATAATTTGTCTATCTGGGTCCTGGGAGATAACTCAGCATCAGAATAATCTTCTTGAGTCCCTATTGGCATTACACCAATTTTCTGGCATCCCTTATGAGCTACAAGTGAGGACATGTTGTGAAATGTGTTGGAAAATGGTGATGAGAAAATCAGCCAATTAATCCATTAAACATGAATATCTACTTTGGCTTAGAGAAGATACAGAGGGTTAAAAGTCACCACACTATCTTCAGAAAGCTTGCACTTTGCTTAAGTAGGTAAGCTATATAGAAATAGGACAGGATTACATGCGGTTACTGCTGAATGAGATGTGATGACAAGACAGGCAGCGGTAATTCTGAGAAGGAAAGAGGAGGGAGTTAGGGACAAGCCCTTCCGAAAAACTGGGGTATGTGCTGATCTTACAGGATGAGTGGGGTTTAGATAAGCAGAAAAGAACAGGTGAGGAGATTCCAACAGGCCAGGGAAAACCAGCGTGGGTGAGCAGCACAGCGTGGATCTGGGGCCATGGACAGGCTCTTTACTCAAGATGTTTCCAGTAAAGCATCTTCATCAGAATCATATCAACATTCCTTTCACCTAGGTAAATCTCTGTTCAGTTGGCCATGTTAAATCATGAACAATGTTTTTCATTTTCAACTTGAATACTTTCATTATGGATTATTATTTATCCTTGAACAATTTAAAATAAAGATTTGATTTAGCAATAGGCTTTTGCATTGTTTTGTTTTCATTTACCCAAGCCATTATTTCCCCTAAGTCTAATATTCCCAGATAAGATCTTTCAGATAAAAGATTCATCAATAAGATTTTATATTTCTGTTAAATTTTAGTGAGAAACACATTTCAACAAGTGCTACTGGAGCACTGCCAAATTTTTCTTCTTACTTACAAAATCTAACTTTTACAGAATTAAATAGTTTTTAATAATACCAGCCATTTGTATTTTATCAATTACTATTACGCATAATAAATTTTACCTGAAATTTTAGCCATTGTCTATTTTTATTTTGCATTAGATATTTCTACCAATATTATTCAATATGAATTATAAAAAAGACTACTAATTTGTACTTATATTTTAGTTGAAACATGATATTTTAGGGGCTGTTCCCCTCAGATATTCTATATATTTCTTTACTGTTCAAATTGTGATGCAAATGAAATGTTTTGTACTGAAAACCCAATTCTTCTATACATTTCTGATGCTTTTGTGTTTTTCAAAATAAAAGCCCGTGGCACTGGCAGAGCAAAAGCCCTGGTTGCAAGCAAGGGAAAGTGACTCTGGCTGACTTAACATTTATTAAAAGGATGTAGGGGATACTGACAGAATCGCAGACTGGGGGCTATGGAGCCAGGAGCAATGGCTGGAAACAGACAGCAGAGCCGGTCAGTCTGGTTACCCAAGCTGCCAGGGGAACCAGGCTCTAGACTTGCTCTGCCAACCCTCCTGGCCCTGGACCCTGCAGCTGTGCCAGATCCACTGCAGTTGCCACCGTCACCAGGAAAGACTCTCTGTGATCCCTGTTTCTTTGCATCCTTAGCTCTCACTTAGGAGCCTGTGGTGGGGGGCAGGTCACATACCTGCCCTCTTGCTGCAAGAGATCCTGGAGGAGCAAATGGAACCCGGCTTTCCCCCGGGGATGAAGGTGGAGGAGCACCCTAACTCGGGGAGCAGTGTCATTTGCTGGGCTACCACAAAGAATGATAAATGCCCATTAGAGGTTCCGAAGATCAGAGCAAACATTCTGCCTTGTTCAGCGGAACAGCAGATGTGGCCACAAACCCTGGACCTTTACTTGGAGGCTGTTCACCACAGAACACATGGACTTCCCTGTGTTCCTCCCCATCAGCCAACCATGTGTGAAGGTGAGTTTAAAAATGAACTAAATTATCCAAGGCAGAAAAGGGCCATGCATCTAAACATGCATCCAGAGCCATGACAACAGAGACTTCACTGCACACTGATTCGCAGGGGACATGGACACAGCTACCACTCCGTGGGACTGCTCATGTGCAGCCCACAGCCCTCAGAATGCTCAGAACAAAATCCATGGGTCTTCTCCCAAGGTAGATTTTAGCAAATGTTGTAATAAACATGTTCTTCTCTATATCTAGCAAACATCCTGTATACTGCAACTGTGTAAGACCCAGAAAGCCTTCATTAGTGTTGCTACTAGGGCAGTTAAGACTTCAGATTTAAATGGCAGCTGGAAAAAAAAAAAGATTGCCTTTAAATTAGAGTGTTTCACTGAAGAATATTTTAAATAGTTCTCATTTAGGTATTTATTATTTCATGTAGTTGCTAAAAAAATCACAGAGCTTGAATTAGCATTGTGTTATCATTTATATTTAATTTTAAGGACAATTTGATACTAAATATAACCTTAAGTACTGTATATATAAAATAGATATGGCAAATAAAAACTGTCTTTATATTAGCTAATATCCATGACAGCACAGAAGTCACAGAGCAATTTTTATACAACCCAATGCTAAGCTTTAGGATTTAGACATCTTCATGGTCCTATTTTTATTATTTCAAAACCTCCAATATTAAAATATTTTAGGATAGTCATCAAAGACAGTATTTTATTATAGCAGTAACTTTTCAAATGATTTCTTATGTCATAGGTGCAGGTTCCTTTGGGATGTGTAGAGTTGTTTATTTATTTGGGATAATCTGTAGTTCATTTGGGCACCTGAGCATGCTTCTCAGTCCCCTCCTTCAAGTCTTTGAAAGTACGTACTTTGTCTCTAACCATCTGACCAAGATGTTTCTGTTATAGTCAAGACTGAAGGGTGGGCAATGGTCTAAGTGACCCCAAGGGTAAGAGGGAGCAGATTCCCTTCCAGACTCATGAGTCTTCCTAAGCTTTCCAAGTGCTCAGTGGTACACCTTCGAATCTTGCTGAAGTGTAGACAGTTGGTAAATGGATTGTCAGAACTAAAACCAAGTGGCTCTCAGAACCAAGATTAGAATCCAGGAAACTTCCAGTGATAATTCAGAGTCAGAGACCACCACAGCATCTATCATTCTACTAGGATTTCCTTTCAGTAATTACTTAATCTCAATTCCGCATTTCCCAAACCGAGTTATTAATCAGACCCAGCTCCATGTCCACTGTGAGTGAGACAGGCATAGTTCAGGCCTTCAGGCTTGCCAGGAGGGCAGTAAGCCACTTGTTTTTCTTGGCAGATGCCTTTGTCTGCATGTGGTTCCTTCTCTTCTTTCCTCAGACCACAAGATTCAGATTCCTTGGAGGCTAGAGGACCCTCAGAGTTATCTTCACCTTGGCTGCATTCTGTAGCAAGTACCATATAGTTTAACCCTTCTTGGTTCTTGGTTTCCATTAAAGCAATTGGCACACTGTCATCTAAGTTCAAACAAACCACGTTGCCATCTTCATCTGTGCAAAAAATATAAGTTATTCTAGCATCTGTTTGATTTCCTTTATTTGTAATATACAGGCAGAATGAGAATTATAAGAACACCAACCTTATACTTTGGCTCAGCAAACATTTATGAAGGAAAATTTGGCAGAAAAGGGGGCAAGAAAGGAATGGTGGGAGAGGGGCTGTTATTTTAGATGAGGTGTTACCAAGGTCCCCTCTCATGAGGCAAAATTCAAGCAGAGACCTGAATGAAGTGAGAGAATTCACCATGTGGCTGTTTTAGGGAGAAGATTCAAGGGAGAGAGAACAGTAAGAACCAGGGTCCTGAGGCAGGAGAGCGCTGGGTGTGGACTGAGGAACAGCTAGGTAGCCAACGGCTGGCCCTCCTCAGACGTCCCCTGGGACAAGTAGCATATGAAACCATCAACAGTATTGGCAAATTTAAAACTAGCAGGCTTCTGACCTCAAAAGGCTAATAGGACATGAATACAGGCCTGACAAGTTCCAATGGCAGGATGGTGGTAGAAGGAAAATGACATGATACATACTATTAATAATAAAAATTATTGTTAATGCTCATAGAGTACTTCCCATATATCAGGTCCTATTCTAAGCTATATACATATAGTAACATATTCTTCTATTAGGTAAATACAAGTATGATCCCCATTTAACAGATGAGGAAATTGAGGCACAGAGGGGTTAAATAATTTGCCCAAAGTCACATATCACAGCTGGAATTGGAACCCGGACTATCTGGCTCAAGCCTGTGTCCTCTCATTCTCCCTCCCCAAGGGAAAGGTGAAGTTGCTGTGCTGTGTGAGGAGGACCCACGCGGGTGGGCAGTGTGCCCTACAGGAGCCTTGAGAAGTAAGACTCAGACACACGTGCGTGATGTCAGCGTGGCAGCAGGAAAATGGACAGCCAGAGGGTAACTGAGCTTCTTAACAATTATGCTCCTATTATTTTGTCTTTCTCTGCTTACAGGCTGACCTTCTTACATAGGAAAGTATAAGAACTCTTGGTGAAACCTAGTAATAGAGCTTCTGGAACATTTCACAATATCCTAGGCAATCAAAAAGATAAACGCATGATACAAGATAAATACACACATGCATATTGTGGGAATTTTTTTATCAACACTTCCCAACCTCTGGGTATTAGTACCGGGATAAAAAAATTATAATCAGAAATATTACTGCTCTTTCATACAGTATATTTGAAAATTCAGAACTATTTCAGCAGCTAGATGATGGTCCTTCCCTTTCTCCTACTCATTCTTCCAACATGAGAGCATCCAAATGTGAGGGTGAGGCCTGCTGAGCTGCCAGCCTTCTGCACTTAGCCCTGATGTACATCCAGGTTGGATTTATTTGAAATGAATTTAAACTGAAATATGAGAAAATGTCAAAGGACTAAGGGAAGCATCATGGTATCTATTTTTTCCCATTGGGGTTTAATGGATCTACCTATTTATCAAGTATCATACCTGATGCAAAGCTTATTTTATTACAAGAGCATATGAACTACTGCTCCTACTCTGTATTATTATGAGCTCATTTTTTTGGCAGACCCTCCCCACTGATGACGAACAGGATGGCTCAGCTGCAGGCTCACAAGCTCTTTGGCATCATCCTATGTTCCTCTTCATTGTTCAAACATCATCATAGCTTATTTCAAACCACATAGTCAAATAGTGTTTTGTAAAATAACTTCCCCATAGATATAACTTTATCAAATGCCAGGTGTGATTAGGGTGAAAGTGCTAAATATCTATGGAAGGATCTAAATTTTATGATTATTATCAACATGTACTAATTGCCATTGAGAAACTCATAAGATTAAATTGCTATATATGATCATATCAATAGAAACTATCAAAAAGGGAGCAAAAGAAAGAAGATATTTGACTTTAAGTAGTCCAGTGGCCCAGATTATTGAGGAAATTACGTTGTTCTTAAAGGGCTTAAAGAAATTAGGCTAGCCCAGCTGGTGTTGCTCAGTGGTTTAGTGTCAACCCATGAACCAAGAGGTCCTGGGTTCAATTCCCCGTCAGGGCACATATCCAGGTTGAGGACTCAATCCCCAGTAGGGGGCGTGGAGGAGGCAGCCAATCCATGTCTCTCTCTCATCGATGTTTCTGTCTCTCTATACATCTCCCTTCCTCTCTCTCTAAAAATAACAATAAAAACATTTTTTAAAAAAAAGAAAAGAAATTAAGCTAAAGAAAAGTTTAGAATTTCAACAAAAACTTAAATCTACAATATAAGTCTATCCATATTTTTATTCCATTAAATAACATATTGGGAAACTTTCTAATGAAACATTATTTTAAAAATTTTTTGCCAATTTTAACAACATTGAGTTATTTGTAAAAAAAAAAAAACAAACCCTTTTATATAAGGCAAATAAATGCTTTATACAAATTCTGGAGCCATATGTCAAAGAAAAATCATTAGCTAACTATTATGTTGGTTCGTGATACTTAGAGCAATATTTAGTAACTTGACCCTGGCAAGCTTTCAGCAATCAGTACATCTTATTGCATAAAGAGACGTGCAGTGGGGCAGGTGGGGGGGGGGGG